GGTCTGTAGAATGGAAAAATAATCTTTCCTTTTTCCTTTTAGCTCCTGTTTATTCTTTTCATAACTTAAGTTTCTAGAAAATAACAAAAATCTTCATTTACTGTCTCTACTTGATTTTCTGGTTGCTTCTTAAAAGTTAACTACAGGGCCGGGGATTTAGCTCAGTGGTTCCGCCGCCTGCTTCAAAAACACAAGGTCCCAACTTTAATCCCCGGTACCAAAAAAAACAAGTATTCCAATAATTTGGGGCCGGGGATTTAGCTCAGTGGTTTTACCGCCTGCTGTGCAGACGCAAGGACCCAAGTTCAATCCCTGGTACCAAAAAAAAAAAAAGTTAACTACAGGTTAACTTCTTTTTATCTACTGTTTTTTTGGTTTGTTTGTTTTTTGCCAGATTCATCTCACTACCTGACCCAGTAGGTGGATTATTGCCTCATTTTTCCCACCTTCTCTCTTTTTTTAATTGAGACAGGGTCTCACTATGTAGTTCAGGCTGGCCTTGAACTCATTATGTAGCCCAGGCTGGCCTTGGACTCAAACTTGCAGTGATCCTCCTGCCTCATCCTCCCGAGTGCAGGGATTATAGGCATGCACCACCATGCCCATCCCACTTTCTCTTTCTTGTAACAGTTACTCTTTGATTTTGAAAATATTTTAATCCTTGATTCTTGCTCTCTCTCTTCACTCACTGGTGATATATTTCATTCCCCTTCTCTGCTATCCCTCCATATTCTCCAATATTCTTGTTCTGGGTTCTGATTTCAGACTGATAATTCTTTATTTGTAGTATTTCCAGTACCCACTGCCTTTGTTAAAACCTTATACTAATAACTGAAATATATCTTCCTAGCCTAGATTCTGTAAGGGCCATATCTATATATCCAGGATTTTTTGTTGCTGTTGTTTAAACACATTGCCTGTACTTTTTTTTTACCTGTATAGGTATTCATTCTACTATGATTTCCTTCACACATTTGAACATAGCTTGCTGTACTGAAAGCTTTTACATCTTGCTTATATATAAAGGTTTTCTCTTCAGTGTTTGTTCCTTCAGTGCAACTACAGTATAATTTTCCACATTGTGCATATTCATATGGTTTCATTCTAGGATTTGTCTTTGCATGCTTCTGAAAGGACTGGATGTCAGTGCAAATTTTCCCATGTTTGGTACATTTAGACAGCTTCTCTTCAAATCCCTGATACTCATATGATTCGAGTTCAGTGGTAGTTATGATAGGCACAGTTGGTGTTGAATGACCAATTGGGAGCTTTCTATAGGCAAGGCCTTCACATGGTTCTGTACCAACTGGTTTCATATTCGGATTACTATCTGGAGTAAAAAAAAACACTTCTCCATGTTGATACCATAATTTGTATTCACAGCATTTCTCCACTTCTTCACTTCTTAAATTTCCCCTGCAATTTCTGTACTTATCTTCAATCTGCTGGTCATCCCAGTTTCTTCCTATAGCAGCCACATTCCTAAAGTTTTCCGACATCACATCTCTGTAGAGCTTCTTTTGGAATAGATCTAACAAAGCCCACTCTTCCATGGTGAAGTTCACAGCCACATCATCAAAGAACACTGCCTCCATTGCGTGGCTTGGGTGTCTTTCAGGGTCCTTTCCACGAAGGCTGCAGTCAGTAGAAATCGAGAGCTGGCTCTCTCTCTGCAAGGTGCTCTGCACCTGGGCTTTGGCGTCAAGAAACAGAGCCCACCTCCCTCGGCTCACCTGATTGGACAGTTCTGCATGTACTTTTTAATGTCATTTGAAACTATGTTCAAACAATTCTTTTTGTCTCCCTCTTTTTTCCTTCTAATTGCGTGGCTCTTTTTTTATTTTTTATTTTTAAATTTTTTAATATTTTTTGGTACCGGGGATTGAACTCAGGACCTTGCATTTGTGAGGCAGGCATGGTGCCACTGAGCTAAATCCCCAGCCCAAGTACCTCTTTTTTTTAAAAAAGTTGTCAGAAACTTAAGTTGTCATAAATGTCTCCTTTGTAACATGCCTCACATCAAATTCTAATCAAATTTATAAATTTAAATCCTAAAATAT